TTTTGGGTTTAATAAGTAATTTGATGATTTATAGGTAATCCAGGCCCTGCTTTTTCTATGTCCCTGTTATTTTCAAGTTGAATTTTTAAGGTTACAGCTGGATTAATTCAGGTAGGACCAGGGGCGGACTGACCATTTGGAAACTCGGACACTGCCCAAGGGCCCGGGGTCAGTAGGGGGCCCCATGAGATGCCCCTGGTACCTTTTTTATAGGCTTTTTTGAGTTTGGGCAAGGACACAGGGGCCCCATGATCCCCTATTGCCCGGGGGCCCCATGAGTTGTCAGTCCGCCCCTGGGTAGGACATCACTGAAGGCATAGGTATAAAATGCATGGCCCGCCCTGGATAATATGGACAATAATATGGAATGTAAAAAAGAAAAATAAACCATCAAGCACCTCATAATATACTATACATCTTAATACAAATAACATATTAAAGTTAAGGTCCCCATATGTAATAAACGGTCACCCTATAACTATAAAGCATTATTATTAATATTTAAACATCAATCAGACATGTGCTTGTTCATTTAAACGGTGTATAGTGAAATGCTTGCACCTGCATCTGTCATGCCATTCATAACATTTATAATTAAATATATTAAATCATTCAAAGCTGCTTTCATTGGTTCTGTTCCAAATAGATTAAACTGGTATTTGCAATAGGTGCTTATAGTAGTAATATTTTGCATCTGATCTGTGTTATTAACTATATGTAAGGTGCAACAGTGTCTTTAAGAAAATTGAACCTAATTCCCTTACTGTATCTCTGGTTTATTCAATGGATCCTCCAATCACAAGAAAATGAGCTGTTAGCTGAGGTGTGAAGGTCATGTTCCAACTGAAAAAGAAAGATCTCCTTTTGAGTAGAGAGAATTAACAACAAGATATATGAAGTAAACAAAAGAGTGCATCCAGTGATGAGTATTTTTTTGTCATTTAAGTGAGTGTCTGATCTACAAATCTCTATGTTTTGTTCTATATTTGAGATATCTCCAATAAAGTTCTTGATATCTCAGTCCCCATTGCCTTAGGTGATTCTATCAAAAGAATCTTTGGAATGAAAAGTTAAGTGATCAGTGATTTAGGGGAACTGAAAACTGGCCACTAGGTGCGGTGTGAAAAGGATGCATATGTGTAGCTAATCCGGAACAAGGAAAAATGGTTCCCTGGTTCTAGGTCCTCAGAATGAGTTGGTGAGGAAAGCTAGGAGTACAAAGATATGTGAGTCTTCCTTGATTGTGATATTAGACCTAAGCGTGCAGGCAAGCAACACTAAGCCGTAACAAATAGGATATTAGAGTCAGGTACCTGCAGCAGTATTATTTTTTTTTTTACAGATTGCCTTTAAGCAACACAGTTTGATTACATACCCATAGTCTGTGTTTGAACAATGAAGCAGCAGCAGCAGACTCATGAGGTCTTTACCATTACAAATGTAAAAAAAAAGGAATAAAAATTCCAAAATATATGCCATCATTTGTAGACGCTATAACTTTTGCACAAACCAATTAGTATATACTTATTGGGATTTATTTTTACCAGAGGCATGCAGCAGAATACATTTTGGCCTAAGTCACGAAGAAATTAGATTTTATTGGCTATGTTTTATAACAGAAGAAAGACCTTTTTTCAAACTTTTCTGGTTTTTTTTTGTTTATATAACCCATAATACAAAACTCAGTGGTGATAAAATACCACCCAAAAAAAACTTGTGTGAAAAAATTATATAAATTTAATATTGGTACAGTGTTGCATGACCACACAAATTGCAGGTTAAAATAACACAGTGCTGAACATTATACAGTATAAACTCAATAGTAAAGCTGGTCATACACTGTATTTTTTTTTTGTTGGCCAGCAGGCCAAAAAAAAAACCCAGATCTATCCATCTACACAAAGGAGGTGGATGGGCGAAATCTCCCCACCCAAACATTGTATTCTGACAGGTGCACAGGTCAGAATACACTGATCAGCAGATTCTGCTTCTAGTCTGCGGCCTTTTATTAAAATTTTCTAACCTGTCTCTTCAGCAGAAGTTGATTAAACAATAGACTTTTATAAAGCAGGGACAGCCATATACTGATTGAAATTCAACTGGTCCCTGCTGAACCAGACAAATTTTAATCATTGTTTGGCCAACCCAACAACTGAAATGTGTCTGTATTTTTCAGAATCCAATCCATTTATCACTTTCATTTTTTAAAAGAATAAAGTTTAATTGAATTTCAAGTATATAGGTAGAAGTTTTACAGAAAGAGAAGTGAGGTTTTACCAATTTAAACATGAATACAAAGATCAAATGTTAAATCTATAATGGCCCAATGCAATTAGAATAGAAGAATATACAGAGATACAACTTGAAATCATGGGTGCACTGAAAAATAAAATAAAACAAAAGTAAATAAGACACATCAAATAAGCCCCTATACGGGGAACATAAGTATGAAAAATTGCAGTTTCAGTAAGCAGGTGTGTGGCAGAGGTCTCTGTGAAGGTCTTGGGTGGTAGGTAGCAACTAACATGTGTAAGCCATAGAGTGGTCATCTCTTGGAGACATGTCGATAGCATTTGGGTGAAGGGTCAATTGGTAACTGATACAGCCAAATGAAGAAAAGGGGAGTGGAAATATTTCATGATTTGTACCTATCCTTATGAGGCTAGAGAGAGGAAAAAAGGGGGGGGGGGGAAAGACAGAAGAAGAGAAGGAATTAGAAAGAAGATATGGGGAAAAGCCCAGGGCAAGCATGAGGTTGCACCCTCTGAATCCAATATCTGAGGGATCCTTAATCAAGAGAAGACAGTTTGCAAGCACAGACAGTCCAAAAAGAATATCCAGATAGACCACACAGCAATGTGGGCAGATCATTTGTCATGATTTGTCATGATGCCAAACATTGTATACGTTGTATACATTGAGCAATCGTGGGGCATCCACTGATTTCTAGTGCCTAGCAATCACATTCCTGGCTGCAATTAAGAAGAAGTTCAGTAATCCTGTTTTACTGAAGAAATGGAGCCAGGGAGTGCAGAGAGAAGGGTAATGGAGGGGGAAAAGGGGGTATGGGAGTCTGCCACAGCATCGTAGACAAGGCTGCTGTTAGAAGTCACAGGGATCTATACAACCAACCTGACAGCACCTCCCCCCAAAAAAAACCCTGCACGTTACTGTGCTTCAGTTATGAATGAACACAGTGATTTTTACCAATCACTTATTGTGTTCATTAAGGAAAGGAAGGAGCTGGTAAATGTGACAAATTTACCATACCCTTCCCCCACTGTCCATCTTGAAGGATCCTATTGTGTGCTTGCAGATGCTGGTGGGAAGGAGAGGATGGAAGCCAGCAGCACTGAGAGGGTGGGGGCACACAGAAGGAATCCTTTGCAGAAGGTGGAAACATGTGCTGCACAGGTAAGGTGATGAGTGCAGTGGGGGATTACTGGAATTGATCCCCTGTATGTCTCTCTCTGCCAGCAGGAGGGAAAAGTGAAGAAGCCAGCTTTCAGCTACTACAGAGAGAGCAATACAGGGGATCAGTTCCAGTAATTGCATCCCTCACCCCGCCGATCACTTTCTCTCTACCACATCCTATTCACCTCCCTGCTGGCCTGGGCCCCGTAAAGGAGGACTGGTAGTACGTCCTTTTCCATTACCCTGATCGTAGATATGGAAAATTCAAGACCAGAAACTGAGTATGGGTTTTACATTTCCATCAGCTGTGGAACATAGTTGCCCGTGGGTGATCACATCTCTAGCAATTTGGCAAGATAGTTTTGTACATTTTGTGGAGCAGCATCGGGCAACGGTACCACCACGTAAGTATTTTGTGGTTTTTTGTTGCAAAGCTGTAGAGATGCAGGTTTTGTGTATAAGTGTAAAGATCTTAAGGTCAGCACCAGAGAATTCAAAGTTCAGCTCCTTTTCCCATTCTGTGATGTAAAAATGGGGTTCTTGATTGCAAATGGTTTAGGAGACCAGCCTATATCTGTGCGATAACGTGGGTGAGTTGTTTGATCTGCAGGCAGAGATGTTGTAAGGGGGTCAGATCCCTGTCAAGAGTGGCTGTTCAGGAGAGAGAAGTGACAAAGTAATGTAGTTTGAATGATTGCCACCACTGTCCTGGGGGTGCGGGGTAGGTTCGATATCAGTGTGGTTAATTTTTGGATTCTATTGCAATGTAGGGCTGAATGAATGGGCGACAGCTTACTTTGGGTCCACCCAAGGAAGGCTGGGATCGCAATTCCTGGTACAAACATGGGGTTGGCTAAAATTTGGTTCAGCGGGCTTATGTGCATGGAGAGATGCTGGCTTCTAACCATGGAATTCCAGAAGTGTAGATGGAAGGGGAAGCATAACAGCATTGGCACCATATGAGGCCGTTTGGATGGGGATATCCAAGGGAGCACTAATGGTGAGACAGTCATGACTTTTCAATGATTACCCACTTTTTTTCTGAATCATGGAAAATCTAATCGACAATATGAACTAGAAGGGCTGCTTTATGTTAGAATTCTAGGTGTGATAGGCCCAAGCATCCATCCAGTTTTCTGTGCATCTGTAAAATATAAAAAGTCTTGGGGGGGATCCAGCCCAGATGTACTGGGGAAAGGCAGATCTCATAGTGAAGAAGAATGAGGGAGGAATAGATATCGGGACAGTTTGAAACAGGTAAAAAAAGCAAGGTAGCATGTCCATCTTGAATAAGTCTACCCAGGCAAGCCACAGAAGCTGGAGTTTGGAACATTCATTGAGTCTCACTAGGGAGGCCTGCAAAAGAAGGGGAAAATTAAGGTCTTACAAGTCCTGTAACTTTGCTGAGTTGTGAACATCAAGGAAGCATATGGACTTCATAGCCCATTGAAATAGGAAAATGATCAATAGTGAGTGGGTTTCATCTGGAGACAAGGTAATGTTAAATACCAAAGATTTGTGAGCATTGACTTTAAAATTGCGGAAATCATGAAACATGGAGAATTCCCACATGCATTTATAACTTTCTTAACCTCCCTGGCGGTATTCCCGAGTGTAGCTCAGGGTAAAGTTTCAGCACCACAAGCGGTAAACCCTGACTACACTCGGGAATACCCAGCAGCCTTGCTCCAGGATCTCTTCTTCACTTACCTTGTCCTTTGCTCCCACGATGTCCCTCCTGCAGTGTCCCTGGCAATGTCCTCCGGCCAATGCCGGCATCTGTCTTCTGGGTTCCGTTCCCTGCGACGTCAGGAAATACGAGGATGGAACTGGCCGGAAATTTGAAAGTTGTAAAAGTGACATTCACTAAATTCACTAAAATCACATAGTAAAACATTACTGTATCAAACCATTTCACATACATTTTGTCCCTAGTGCTTTGTCCTGTGCCCTGCCTGCATATTTACTGTTCTTTCTGCCTGGAAACTGAGAAATGTCCATGGCATCCAAAAATCGTCCCTTTAGGTCAAAAGCAGTTTTAGACCAGCTAGAGAACAGTGATAGTAAATTAGAATTACTTGCAGAATTGAGTGATAATGATTCGTGGGGAAATTTGTCATCAGACACTGAAAACGATTTTGCGACTTTGCTCAGTGATGTGCAAACTTGGTGCTATATTTCAAATTTCAGTGTTTTTTGTTTGATTATATTATGTAATTACATTTATTATTATTATATTATTATTTTTTTATGATCATTTATTAAATTATAATTTATGATTTCGTGTTTCAAATTTTAACATACCCGGGATGTTTACTAGACTCTTGTTCGGTCAGATTTCAGTGAGTTATTCCTAAAAATTACAGGCCTACAATAAAAAAAAAAATACATATTTCCATGCAAAAAATGTACCACATTGAGCACAGAAAAATGGAAATAATCATACCGCTAGGGAGGCTACAAAATAATTTAAGAATCCACAGGAGAGAGGAGTGGGATGTCCAGCAGTACAGTATATCTGTACCTTCAATCCAGCAAGCTCTTTCATGTCAAGCACTTACTTTAAGCCTTGAACAGTCAATGAAAATGCTCTATCTTGTGCCAGATTTCCCACTAATTTCTGGAAAACATTTTAGTACATGGCATGGTAAAGAAAAAAACATATGTAGTACAGTACTGCAATATATTCATATTTCCCCATTGTTTTGTATCTTTAAAATGCTGAAGATGAGTGCAAGATCAGCACTGCCAGAGGCCTACAAAATGACCTCCAGAAGGCTACTGGTGTGAATATCTCTGACCAAACAATCAGAAATAAACTTCATGAGGGTGGCCTGAGGGCCCAATGTCCTCTAGTGGGCTCTGTGCTCACTGCCCGGCACCATAGAGCTTGATTGGCATTTGTCATTGAACACCAGAATTGTCAGGTCCACCACTGGCGCGCTGTACTTTTCACAGATGAGAGCAGGTTCACCCTGGGCACATGTGACAGATGTGAAAGGGTCTGGAGAAGCCATGAAGAATGTTATGCTGCTTAAAACATCATTCAGCATGACCGTTTTGGTGGAGGGTCAGTGATGGTCTGGGGAGGCATATCCATGGAGGGACACACAGATCTCTACAGGCTAGACAATGGCACCCTGACTGCCATTAGGTATTAGCCCCTACTCTGGTGAAGTGGGTCCTGGGTTCCTCCTGGAGCACGAGGACCTCATGTGACAAGAGTATGCAGGCAGTTCCTGGAGGATGAAGGAATTGATACCATTGAACGGCCCCCACACTCGCCTGACCTAAATCCAATAGAACACCTCTGGGATATCATGTTTAGTCCATCTGACACCACCAGGTTGCACCAGGAGCTCAGAGATGCCCTGGTCCAGATCTGGGAGGAAATACCCCAGGACACCATCCGTCATCTTATTAGGATCATGCCCCTACATTGTCAGGCATGCATACAAGCATATGGAGGCTATACAAACTACTGAGTACCATTTTGAGTTGCTGCAATGAAATTTCAGCAAAATGGACTAACCTGCTGCATAATTTTTTCACTTTGATTTTTGGGATGTCATCAAACAATGGGGCATCCTTACATTCCTAACACATTACCCTGTCTATATCACTATAAATATCCAGCATGATATTTTTGCCCATTGAGATCTGATGTGTTTTCAAAGTGTTCCTTTAATTTTTTTGAGCAATATATATATATATATATATATATATATATATATATATGTATTATAAATGTCTCTTAACAATCCACAAGTCACCTGGCTTTAGTTTATGAGATCCTTCCAAACTCTAAGGATCTGGAATTTGGGGAGAAAATACACTAAATGAGTTTGTAAAAACCTTAAGATCAGCAACATTCTCTGTGAGATCTGAGTGGAGGCCTTCAGGTGCTGGGAAAAATATAAGCAAGCAAGTGACACATTTCCAAACAAAATCTCATAGGGAGAGAGTCCACATATACCCTTAGGGATTAAAAAATATGAAGATATTCAGACCATGGTTTTCTAGTTTCTGACATCTTCTTAGTTACTCTACTTTCTCCACTACATTGTAGATTTTGGGGGGTGTAAAATAAAACCTCAAAATTCTTGGAAGAACTCTCCTATAAAATTAATTCCTCTGTTATTCTCTCTAGCTTCTTAGAACTACAGGTGAAGCTCGAAAAATTAGAATTTCTTGCAAAAGTTCATTTATTTCAGTAATGCAACTTAAAAGGTGAAACTAATATATGAGCTAGACTCATTACCTGCAAAGCAAGATAGTCCAAGCCGTGATTTGTCATAATTGTGCTGATTATGGCTTACAGCTCAAGAAAACCCCAAATCCACAATCTCAGAAAATTAGAATATTACATGCAATCAATAAAACAAGGATTGTACATAGAACAATATCGGACCTCTGAAAAGTATAAGCATGCCTATGTACTCAGTACTTGGTTTGGGCCCCTTTTGCAGCAATTACTGCCTCAATGCGGCGTGGCATGGAAGCTATCAGCCTGTGGCACTGCTGAGGTGTTATGGAAGACCAGGATGCTTCAATAGCGGCCTTCAGCTCTTCTGCATTGTTCAGTCTCATGTCTCTCATCTTTCTCTTGGCAATGCCCCATAGATTCTCTATGGGGTTCAGGTCAGGCGAGTTTGCTGCCCAATCAAGCACAGTAATCCCACGGTCATTGAACCAGGTTTTGGTGCTTATGGCAGTTTGGGCAGGTGCCACGTCCTGCTGAAAATAAAGTCAGCATCCCCATAAAGTTTGTCTGCGGAAGGAAGCATGAAGTGCTCCAAAATCTCCTGGTAGACGGCTGTGTTGACCCTGGACTTAATGAAGCACAGTGGACCAACACCAGCAGATGACATGGCTCCCCAAATCAACACAGACTGTGGAAACTTCACACTGGACTTCAAGCATCTTGCAGTGTGTGCCTCTCCATTCTTCCTCCATACTCTGTGTCCTTGGTTTCCAACTGAGATGCAAAAGTTGCTCTCATCAGAAAAGAGGACTTTGGACCACTGAGCAACAGACCAGGTCTGTTTTTCTTTAGCCCAGGTAAGACGCTTCTTTACTTTTCAGTAACACCTTTGGTAACAGGTAAAACAAGAAGCGGTATATTCAAAAACAACAGTGGTGAACCTTGGCGCTATCCCAGGCTCATTTACTAAGGCAGCCACAACTGCTTCTGACTGTTGACACAGTCCATTTCAGGAGCGGATTGACAACTCATGTGGCCCCCGGGCAATAGGGGATCATGGGGCCCCTGTGTCATTGCCCAAACTCAAAAAAGCCTATGAAAAAGGTACCAGGGGCATCTCATGGGGCCCTCTACTGACCCCGGGCCCTCGGGCAGTGCCCGAGTTTCCAAATGGTCAGTCCGCCCCTGGTCCATATGTCAAGCTGAAGGGAAAAGATTGCCTGGTAGACCTAAAAGTTCACCGTTTTCCAAAGTCCTGTTTCATAAGACATTGCCCTCCACTGTGGACAACTTTCTTAATTATTAATCCCAGCTCTACTGGGCCAGAAATAGGGTGGAATCTGTGAGTTGACCCAGCAAGTGTCCGGTGCTGTAATGCAACATTCCTAGTCAACTGGTCTGCTTCCAATGTGAGAGTATGACTGCCTCAGCAAGAAGCTGGAATGCTGAAGACAGCCAATCAATTAACTTAGCTTAGCTTGATTGGTTTACCTGCCGAAGGAAAAAAACTTCAAGCCCTTCAAGTGGAACCAAAATCATGCATCACACCTAATCCTCTCTAATTCTCTACTGTCTATATAAATGTATATTCTTTTGATAGCTCACAGGCTTTGCTAAAGCATGGAGCTCTGCTTCTTGAGCTGGGGAAGAAGGATTTATTAAATCTAAATATAGAACATTCTTTTTTGGGTGATAACTGCATATTCAGTATGGGTCTAGCCATCCTCTGTTTAAAACCGGGATGAAATCTACAAAAAAAAAATCAAATATCTGGGTGTTCAAGGAATGTGTACTCATTGGACTACCAGCAGCTGATTCCCACAACATCAATTTAACATGGTTTTTCTTTGTTTCCAGCCTCTCCCAACACAGGCAAAAAAGGTGGCTGGGTTTAATGGTACAACTTTTTCATATTTTGTGAACCTTATTAGACAAAAATTTAGTTGGGTTGTCTGCAGTAATTGCTGCACAAAATGTGGGACTATTAAAGTCTAATAATTGACCAAAATAATGTCTGTACCTTTGTCTAGTAACACCTTGCATACATCTACTTCTCTGATATAGTCGGGTGAACTCGTTATTACTAGGTCCAGCTTGCATGGCTTGTTTTTTCCTGTCGTGCTTTTTGTGTAAGAACTCCAGTTTCATGTTTTAAAAAGACAACCTTTTCCTGGCAATATTAAAAATTCTCTTTGTTTGCTCTGTTGTTAGTTTTAGCAAGATAATACAAATTCTTAGTTTCCGTCTTATATATCCTCCTGATGTCGCAACATAGGTTACCACTGCATTTACAAGGAAAGAGACACATCATTTCACAATCCACACATTCTGCTTTGGATTAAAAAAGTAAAGTAAATTAAAGCAAAAAGTAACAACAATCTGTATATCAAAGAACAGAAAATCACCAGCCAGATCAAAAAAACTTTAAAACTGCCGGCTGTGGGTGGCATCTATCTTAACAGGGTGTGTGGGCTTTGTGAGATGGGTCTGTCATTTTATTTAATAAAATATCTGTTTATCTGTTACATGTTAAGGCAGCTGCAATATAATCACCTCATGTTAATCTAAAGTAACTCCACATTCACCCTATTAGATTGTAAACTCGTATGAGTTGGGCCCTCTTAATACTCTTGTTTTTTTATTGTATTGTGACTGTACTGTCTCCCTTTATATTGTAAAGTGCTCTGCAAACTATTGAGGCTATATAAATCCTGTATTAT